GGCATCGGGTGGGTGGCTCTGTGCCGTGCCAGGTGCAGGGTCTGCTAGCTGGGTGCTGGCAGGCTTGCACCTGGCACGGGCACCGTAGCCAGCCCGTGCCCCTTTAAGGGGTCCGGGGCCGGGAGGGGGGCATAGAGTTTCCCTGGTGTTGGCCAGAGTGGCCACCAGGGAAACCTGGGAAGCCTTAGCCTCCCACTAGTTCGAACTAAAGGGCTACACAGCCCTTAGTTCGAACTAGCTAGTTCGGAACTAGGCTTAATCCTCGTAAAATGAGGTTTACCTAGTTCGAACTAAGTGCTCCGTTAGTTCGAATTAAGTTCGAACTAACGGAGCGCTAGTGTAGCGCCTAGGAAAGTTAGTTCGAACTAACGTCCGTTAGTTCGAACTAACTCTGTAGTGTAGACATACCCTAGGTCATTCTGGACCCTATATTTGCCCTCCAACGTATCTTCCTCTCCCCCAGCTTAGTGTCATCTGCAAACTTTCTGAGGATGCAATCCATCCCCTCATCCAGGCCATTAATAAAGATGTTCAACAAAATCAGCCCCAGAACCAACATTTGGGGCACTCCGCTTGATGGCAGAATCCTAGGGTTGGAAGAGATCTTGGGAGCTCACTGAATCCAACCCCCTGCCCAAAGCAGGACCAACCCCAACTAAATCAGCCCAGCCAGGTCTTCGTCAAGCTGGGATTTAAAAACCTCTAGGGATGGAGATGCTACCTCCCTAGATAACCAATTCTAGTGCTAATATTTTTGGAAACAGACTACAAACCAGACACTGTGCCACTGATCACTACCCACTGTACCAGATGATCTAGCCAGTTTTCTATCTACCTTACAGTCCATTTATCCAATCCATGCTTCCTTCACTTGCTGGTAAGAATACTGTGGGAGACCATAGCAAAAGCTTTGCCAAAGTTAAGGTATATGACATCCACTGACTTCCCCATGTCCACAGAGCCAGTTATCTCGTCATTGAAGACAATCAGGTCGGTCAGGCATGACTTGCCCTTGGTGAATCCATGTTGACTTTTCCTCATCACTTTCCCCTATTCCAAGTGCTTCAGAATGGATTCCTTGAGGAATTCCTGTTAACTATTAGCCAAGAGGATCAGAGACACAATGCCAGACTTCGGGGCTGTGTCTAGACTGGCAAGTTTTTCCACAAAATCATCTGCTTTTGCGGAAAAACTTGCCAGCTGTCTATACTGGCTGCTTGAATTTCTGCAAAAGCACTGACGATCTCATGTAAGATTGTCAGTGATTTTGCGGAAATACTATGCTGCTCCCGTTCAGGCAAAAGTCTTTTTCTGAAAAACTTTTGCACAGAAGGGCCAGTGTAGACAGCAGAGATTTGTTTTCTGCAAGAAAGCCCAGATCGCGAAAATGGCGATCGGGGCTCTTTTGCGGAAAAGCGCGTCTAGATTGGCACAAACGCTTTTCCCCAAAAAGTGCCTTTGCAGAAAAGCGTCCTGCCAATCTAGACACGCTTTTCCGAAAATGCTTTTAACGGAAAACTTTTCCGTTAAAAGCATTTTTGGAAAATCATGCCAGTCTAGACGTAGCCCGGGTGTCCCCAAACCTCTGCTGCCACGAGCTGGGAGAGGATGACGGGATGAATTACTCCATGATGGCCATGTTCTGTTCAGTTCCTCTCTAGTTGACAACCAGGCCATTGGACTGGATGGACCTTGGTCTGACCCAGTGTGGCTGTTTCTAGGTCCCTGCGTCCCACCTCCTGCCCAGTGTAGGGACGTGCCCATACACCCACATGCCCTGTCTGACCCTTTCCCCACCCTAGAGGCCACAGATGAATTCCCTTCAGCCGTGCCCAGCTCCATTCACCCAACGAGAGCTCAGCATTGACTGGCTCAGAGCAAATCCAGCCCAGCCCTTTAACAGCTGGGTCTGCACATCAGACTCTTGCTATGGGGTAGGGGGATGGGACCTGGGGCCTCTCCCCTCCAAGGGGTGCCAGCTCTGATCTGTTCCCAGGCTGGGGACTGGCTGGCTCAGGGGCAGTGCAGGGACTAGCTGTACCCCTTGGGTGGAGACAGCCTAGAACCAGACACCACAACAGGTGCTAATCGATGCCCCCTGTTGGGCCCCTGTGGAGACACGGAATGGGCCACGCAGGCTGCAGTCCCTAGCTCTCCATGGAGGGGAGCACTGTGGGGCATGGAAGATTGTGTCCCAGGCTGAGCAGCTAACCTCCCCAGGTCGTTGTCCCTCTGCTGCTGCCATGGAGCAGTGACCACCCCGGAGGTGAATGACAGTAACTGCCCTCATGCCACATCCCAAGGCAGTGAGCTGGAAAAGGTGCAGTGGCCAAGTCCCAAGGTTGCTGGGGAAGGCAGGTGGGAGCACAGCACATGGACTGTTACACACCCCCATAGAGGGCCAGCCCAGGTTGTTCTCCCAGCCACCACCAGCAGAGCAGGCTGGGAACATCCCTTAGAATCAGCACCGCGGTGAGCCCTCCTGAGCTCATCCCTGTGTGCACACAAGTCACCAGTGTGGTGCCTGAGAGGGCCCCTGCTCTGTGCAGTGCTGATAGACGCTGGGTTGTGTGCATGCTCAACTCGCTGCCCCAGCGCTGCATACCAAGCCAGCCCAGCCGACTCCTAGAGAACCCCCAAGGACTTCAGCGCGGTGGGGCCAAAGGAGCCAGGAAAATTTTACTGCACACAAAGCACAGTAATAGCACCTGGCAGTCTGTGCGGGGACAGAACGGGTACATCTACACTGCTGCACAATTT